GGGAACACCTTGCATCTGTCTGGACCTTCTCCCACCATTCCTTACTCCCCTTTTGTCTGCATTTTAACCCTTTGCACTCACTTGCTTTTTTCTCGGGATTTTAAGTTTTTAAATGCCCCAGATTTTACAAAGCACAGCAGTAGAATAAAAAAACTGGAGTTTCTTTTCATACAAACTTATTTACTTGGATTTTTTTATATTTCAAAATATTGATACATTCAAAGAGTAATTTTAATCTCCATAATTTTTGCCATCCGTGTCGAGTCACACTCGGTCAAAGGAGTGCAAAGGGATAAGGTTTGAGAGGTCCATGGGATTCCTAGGAGGGTCTCTTCTTTTCAGAAGCCCCTGTTTTCACTCAACTCAGAGCAGCCTGACCAAGTTCCCAGTCTAGGAGAAGCAGTTCATAAAAGAGCTGTCTTTTATTTCCGGCTCCTTCACTTGGGTGCACCTCCTTGATAGCACCAGGCTTGCCCAGAGAAGCTCCTTCTGGGCTGCATAAGTTTATCCAAAGGAAAGAGGACAGCACGCTGAAGGCTTTGCTTATTAGGTGGCTTGTCTTATTCGGTGTCGTTGCCAGTATTACAGAACAGGTTCTTACATTTAGGGAGCTCCCCCAAGACACAAGCCTAGAAGGCCTGCGAGGTACAGGACGGGCCCACAGAAGTCAGATGTAATAGTGTCTTTCAAGGCTTTCTCAAAGCCTGAGCCAGGAGATCAGTCCTTTATCCCCAATAGAGGGAACTCAGATGGAACCCAGAACAAGCAGCCAGGTGGGAAGGGCTAGCCTCAGGAGCACTAAGAGAGATGGTTCCACTCATGCTGATGGCCAATGACAGGTCCCCCATATCGGCTCCATGCTCATGGGGGTCTCCAGATCATCCTCGGTCAGGGGCTGGCTCCGGACCCGCTCCAGCATCTTGAGGCCTGTGGGGAGAATGCCAAGGGCTGGTGAAGCAGGGCCCATAACTGGAGCCCCAGGGCAGGCCAGAACTCACATGGGGACACTGTGGGGGTGTCACCGCACCCAGGCCTTCCCAGGTGACCCATTTACTCCTCCTCAATATCTTCCCCTCCCTGAACAACTATTAATACATGCCACAAAAAATGGGCCCTTCCCTTCCCAATAGACACCAGGAACCACGTGGATTCCCAGGCACCCAGCTGGTTCAAGAACCCAAGATGCCATGCAACTCTGCCAAGTCTCCAACACAGTTCAGCCACGGATACCTACCCTGGGCGTGATGGTAGGAGTCCTGGCTTATCACGCGGGACATCATGTGCAACAGCCACTGCGTTGCTCTGAATGGCCCGACTGCAATGACACGAGTGTGGCCTCTGGCGGTAAACCAACGCTCCAGCTGAATGAGGGTGTAGCTGTGCACCTCGATGCAGTGAAGGTATGTGTCACTGTGTCCTGTGAGCATTAAGAGGTGACAATGTTGTGGCAAGTGACCAGAGATTGACCAGGGAAAGAACAGAGTGGCACACACAGGGGGGTAGAATCTGCTTTGATGTCGCAGGCGGGATCAGAGGGGCATACCACCAAATTCTGAGCCCCGCTTCCTTATTTCTCTCCAGTTTTAGACACTTCTTGGGGTTCCACACAACCAATATCCAATTAACAGTGGGATTAGTAGGATTAGCCCTAAGCCTCACAAGGATCCAATCAGTAGTGGGTTTTGCCTTAGGGCCCCGGGCGGGGCCTTCCCTATCATTAGTAGGATAAGCTTCACATGTATCCAATCACCAATAGTTTTTGCCTCAGGACCCCGGGGTGGGGGATTTTCCCTACCAACTACATGGACTGTAAGCCACCAGTCTTGGGGAGTGGGAGGTGGCCTTGGGGGTAGAGACCTAGGACAGATGGAGGTGGGAAAGTTGGGGAAGATCAGAAGGGATAAAGGAGAGGGCAAAGGCAAAAGCTACTCACCGAAGATAAGCTCCTCCTGGTCCTCTTCCAAGTAAAATACCCTTGGAGCACGAAAGTTTTCAGGCTCGGTCCACCATGGCTTCTTGCTGGGAAGTCCGGTTTCCATGTCCACACGCTCTGCTGCTACCTGATTCAGAAAAGGGGCAACTGCAAGCAGCCAGTTGAAAAAGCACTTGGAAAAGTGAAGAAGGGCCAAGGCCCTCTCTTAAATATAGGCGCCTAAAGGACCCGCCTCTTGAACCACCTTAGAATCCTCCTCCAATCCCAGTAGCTCCTCTCAAGAAAATCCATTCTAGGGATGGGCGTGGTGGCTCACGCCTGTAATCCTAGCACTCTGGGAGGCTGAGGCTGGAGGATCACTTGAGGTCAGGAGTTCCACACCACCCTGAGCAACAGCAACATCTCCACTAAAAATACAAAATAATTAACTGGCAACTAAAAATAGAAACAAAAAATTAGCCAGTCATTGTGGCTCATGGCTCTAGTCCCAGGTACTTGGGAAGCTGAGGCAGGAGGATCCCTTGAGCCCAGGAGTTTATGGTTGCTGTGAGCTACGCTGATGCCAGGACAACAGAACAAACACTGTGTCTCAAAAAAAAGAGAGAGAGAGAAAAGAAAATCCATTCTAAGTAATTGTCTACTCTGAGCTTAATCCTTTCCTGCCAAACTGATGTACCAGATCAGTGCTCAATTTTCTGATGCCCAGGAATCCCAAATTTTCTTCATTCTAATTTCAAAGAGGCCGGGCGGGGTGGCTCCCACCTGTAAATCCTAACACTGGGGTGGCTCCCACCTGTAAATCCTAACACTCTGGGAAGCCGAAGCGGATGCATTGCTCCAGGTCAGGAGTTCGAAACCAGCCTGAGCAAGAGGGAGACTTGGTCTCTACTATAAATAGAAAGAAATTAATTGGCCAACTAATATATATAGAAAAAGTTAGCCAGGCGTGGTGACCCGTGCCTGTAGTCCCAGCTACTTGGGAGGCTGGGGCAGCAGGATTGCTTGAGCCCAGGAGTTTGAGGTTGCTGTGAGCTAGGCTGACGCCACGGCACTCACTCTAGCCCGGGTAACAGAGTAAGATTCTGTCTAAAAATAATAATAATAATAATTTCCAAAATTTTGGAGCAAATCTGCTGGGCATGAACTAGGGCTGGGGTTGAGGAACAGAAGGTACTGGAGCAGGAAGACTCCAGAATGGACTTCCTAAGTCTGGACAGGTACCAGCATCCAAGCGATGACTAAATATGTGTAGTCAAACAAGGATGGGTTTATTTAATGTGCTGCATCAAGGGACAGAAAACACTGTAGGAAAATAAAGCCTTACAGGGAAAAGTTGTAGAAAACTAATTATAGGAGTGGCTAAGTAAGTCTAAGGAGTGTTTAGGGAAACAGTGGCCTCTTTGCCAACATGGGGCAATTTGCTGATTACCTTGGTAACTTTTATTTAGGAGGTAGAGAGGCTAATCTGGTCTTGATATCAGAGTATTGTATCTCTCTGGCTTCAAACATACATCTTCTTCCGTCACAATCACTGAGTAGTCTTAACAGGTAAAAGTATTTAGCAAGAGATATTTATGTTTGGTAGGGATGATTAGAATTTACCTGTCAGCTTCCAACTGCAAGCTCCTAGGTGGTTTGCACTTCTCAGCCTCCCCTTTTGACCAAAAACAGACAAAGTCAGCCCTCAGGACTTTAATCTGTGGCATTCAGATCCATATCACTCTCAGAAGCCATTGATAAAAAGGTTAGTGGGAGAACACTGCATCTACTTACAGTTGCTCTCTATATACCTTTTCTTGTAAAATGAGATGTTTAATCATCTGGAAAGACAAAAATGATTGCCCAGTAGCATTTAAGCTAGACAGAGTGCACTGGTCAACTACAATATGGGTAATTAATGGAAACAAAATAATTATTAATCCTATTATTTGGCTGCAAATACAAGGGCCTAGATTTAAAACCAGGCCATGAAATCATGCCCAAAAATCCAAATGAATCTGTTCTAGAGAGCCAGATAATCTTTTCTTTTAACCAAGCCACAATATCGTTCTACCTACCAGGAATGTTTTACGTAGGTGCTGAGAACACCGTTTGCTATACAAAGTTCTTCTTGGCTAGCCAAGACTATACAATCATCTATGACCACCATGAAATTTTACTGGACCTAGTTTATTGGACTGCTGGAGAAAAAAATACTGTCATTTATGACTTCTGTTAGGACCAGAGACAAATTTTGAACTACATTTCCTACTTGTATTATTCCTACTGTTGTAATTGTAGCTCCCGCAGTGCAGATGTAGAGAGAGGAAATGATTAATATCTCTCCATGCTTGCCTTGTTTTAGGTCTCTGAGTATCCTTCTCAGAGAAACTGTCTCCTGTAGCAGTAGATGTCTACAATATTAGTAATAAAATAGTCTAAAGATATATTACACAGGATAGGTTTGTGTAATGATCAGGTGACCTGCTGTACACATAAACAGCAGTACCTTAGTGTTGCACAGCCTATATCAGGGCTGTGTCAGTATCATTGATCAAAGTGACAGCAGGACAAGTATTAATCCTTCAACATGTGAAGATTGCTTGAGTGAAGGCCTGGAAATTACTGAAAATAACAGACTAATACAGCAAGGATAGCCCCAACACATTGTTGCAGTAATGTCAGGAGAAGTCTTTTGTCGTTTGGGGTTAATGCCTAATTTTGATGAAACTGATGGTCAGAATTAATATTGTCAGGAAATTCAAATTCCAGGAGGGACCTGTAGAAGAACATCTGCCTTTTGAAGTGTTGAAAGGGATAGCCATTAAATTTTTGTTAGTGGAAACACATGCAGGATAAAAAATTTATTAATAAGTTGGATTTTAAAGAACTGTGGCTTTCCAAATTTGATCATTTCCTACTTCCAAGAGTTGATCCCAAAGTTAGCCACCAGATGGCGACCAATCTTAGTTCTATTCCCAGCTAGTTTTTTAAAAGATATAATGTATAGGCCTTTGTCTCAGTTTTTAGGCTGGTTTCCAAAGCACATTTCCTGTAGATAACCATATTTAGAAAGAGAAAGGGCAAAAGGAAAAGCTATTAGGCTTATCTATCTGCATGATTTGGCAAAACTATTCAACAAGGCAAGACCTACAATCCATCTGAGTAGCCAGTGAGAGAATGCTATACCCACTCCAAGCCTTATCCTGCAGTCAGACCGCAGCAGAATGTGTCAGGGAATAAGAGACACTTTCTCTTGTTTGGTTCTAAATGAATTCACTAGATTTTTTAAAAAATCAGTGAAGGAAAAATTCAGAATTCCTAAAAAGTCACTATATAGTTTACATAAGGTGGATATTGGTGATAATTAGATATTAACCACACTGATTACTTAGTTCTCTGCCCTTGAGGACCTCTTTTCAAACTATGTCAAAATTCAGAACTATTAAGAAACAGAGAACCTGATGATAAAGAGCCTGTTGCCCTCATTATACCTGAGATAATGGACAGAATCACTACAATTTTTTTCTATACTTCAGTGGATACAAACAGTCAGTGTCTCTTATAAGCTTTTATCAATTAAGCACTGAGAATCACACTTCTTTTATTTTCAAAAAATAATTACAAAGATGGCCATATAAAATTTCTCATGCCAAAGATCAACATATAAATATTTTAAAAAATCAGATGGTGCTTTCAGGATTTACTGACCTGACAGATGATCCAGACCTACGACTAGGCTTGCTCCCAAAGCATGGAAAAAACAATAGCCCCTGTTAAGGGGGGTAGAAATGCCAGGATTGTAGCAAAAGTTGGAACAATGAAAAGGCTTAAAGAAGTGAATATGCTATAGGCAATATACTATGAATAGTTAAGGCTGAAAATCCACAAGAGTTCCCAGAAAATATATTACTTACCAAAGCAATAAGGAAGGAGCTGGAGAGAAGGTCACCAGCACCACTAAGCTCAGTAGTGCCTCTATATATATTAGTTGGCCAATTAATTTCTTTCTATTTATAGTGGAGATGGGATCTCGCTCTTGCTCATGCTGGTTTCCAACTCCTGACCTTGAGCTATCCACCTGCCTTGGCCTCCCAGAGTGCCAGGATTATAGGCAGGAGCCACCGCACACGGCCGACATTTAAACTTTACATTTTACTCTTTCTTTTTTTAGTGTGGCCTTTTGCCTGATAAACTTTACATTTTAATTCAAATTATTGTGTTATATACTTCTGGCATATGTCACTTTTTGACATTTTTATCTAACACTATGGTAATCCCATCAGATCCTAAAAGGGAACCGGTATAAGGACTTAATTCACAGATCTAGGTTGCAAATGAATGCCATCATGTTTGCATTAACAGATTATTTTGAATATGTAATATACATGCCCCAGAAGGCTATGTAGTGAAGTCTCTTTCCCTCCCTTTTCTCTCAGTTAACCACTAAATCTTTTCAAAGCTATTCTATGCAAATAGAAATATATACCTATTAAGCCTCAGGAGAAGGCTCACCCTATAATCCCATCACTTTGGGAGACTGAGGCCAGA